CCCCTCGTCTCCGGCCGCCTCAGTGGCACTGAGCGGGACCTCATTCTGCAGCGGCGCATGGAGGCCGGCCGGCCCTGCTTGCTGGTGGCCGAGGTCAGCGATGCCTTCGAGCGGCCGGGTGGCGGCAGCCGGCCGCAGAGCCGCGAGAGCAGCCGGCCGCAGAGCCCTTCCTCCGTGGTGTCGCTGGAGGAGAGCGGCTCCCTCATCCACTGCTACCAGGAGGCCAGCGGCGAGTGGAGGGTGCTGACGCGCCTGCCCGAGGAGGCCAATGCCAAGGGCTGCGCCATGTGTGTCCTCCACAACTACCTCTTCCTTGCAGGGGGCATCGCGGCGGGGCCGGCAGGCGGAGAGCCCCGGGCCCGCCTTTCCGACAAGGTCTTCTGCTACAACCCCCTTACCGACACCTGGAGCCAGGTGCGGCCGCTGGCTCAGCCCCGCTCGCAGCTCAAGCTGCTGGCCCTGGACGGTTACCTCTACGCTGTGGGGGGCGAGTGCCTCTTCACCGTGGAGAGGTATGACCCGCGGGCTGACCGCTGGAGCCCTGTGGCACCCCTGCCCAAGGGTGCCTTCGCTGTGGCTCATGAGGCCACCACATGCAACGGGGAGATCTATGTGTCAGGAGGCTCCCTCTTCTACCGCCTGCTCAAGTATGACCCCAAGCGTGACGAGTGGCAGGAGTGCCCTTACAACAGCAGCCGCCGGCGCTCTGCTGACATGGTGGCCTTCAAGAGCTTCATCTACCGCTTTGACGTGAGCAGCGGCCGTGGTGGGGAGCAGGGCCCAGGCGGTGGGGCTGGCGGTGGCGTTGAAGTTTTCCGGTACAACACGGTGGCCAAGCGCTGGAGCCAGTGCGCCAGCCTGCGGCCCAGCGGCGGCCCCATCCAGCCTTTCCGCTGCGCCCCCTTGGGCAACACCATCTACTGCGTCAACCGGACCGGCACCCTCCGCTTCAGCCTAGCCCAGGACGGTGAGGTGGAAGCGGATGGTGGGCTCAAGGGCACCTTCGATGGGGAGCTTCTTAAAGCTCCCTTGGATGCCAAGGGTGTCCTCCTACCCTTCGTGCTCACCCTGCCCGAGAGGCTGGACAAAGCAGGGGACCAGGAGGGCTCCCTCCTGCTGTGAGGTATCCAGCTGGCTCTGGCTTCCCGAGCGGGGAGCTGGGTTGCAGCTGTGGGGCACCCACAAACTCCCCCCTACAGAGGGGACCCTCTCTGGCGTGTCTGCAGAGACAAGGGGCTCCTCCTTTCCTCCTCTCTGCTCCCAAGATGTTGAGCTGGAGCCACTTGGTTGTAACTCGGTTGTAACTCTTTTCATGTTTGCTGTGCTTTGTGTGAAAAGCCAAGCACGTGAAAGGAAAAGCTGCTATAAAGATAATCTCTGGATTATGTTTGTGCCAATGCCCAATCTGAGGAAAACTTTTTTACACCTGGATTTCTAAAAAATTCCTGCCAACAGTGTCATAATGGGACGTTACTGTTAGTGTTGGTTGCATGTTTACATGTAGTTGCAATCTGGGCTGGAGCCTTTTCTGCCATTTGTTTTCTTTCTCTCCGGGATGATACCGAGGGATAAATGCTGCCGGCAACGTAGCTTGGCTGCATTTGTTTTTACGTTAAACCAACTATTTCCTGTGTTAGCAAAGTATAGGAAGAACATCTCCATCACAGCCTTTCATTTCTGGTGCAATAGATGGTTTAAGGAAGACGTGGCACTGTGTGGTCCCAGGAATTTCAACCACAAATGATTTAACAGATACCAGACTTAAATTTTTAAGTAACACGAATGTGTGCCACATGTTTGTGTTTGGAATGCAAAAAAAAAAAAAAAGGAAAAAAGAAAAAGACAAGTTACCTTTTTAAAATGTGGCATACTATAGCAGATATGAAACGTTGATATGTTCTTTATTTGAAAACGGCAATGGTTTCTGTATAAAAAGACATCATTTTATTACCTTTTTTTATCAGAGATTTTAAATTAAAACAAAAATGAACTGAAGCTGTTTAGACTGCAACCGATTGACATGACCATGTATGCCACTAGAGTTGGGGTAAATATTTTGTACTTCAGCTGCTCTTTAATTAACTGCAAGTCAAGCAAGATTAACCTAAACCAAATGTAACTTTTTCGAAACTGACTGCAGACAGCTTAAATGTTTCACTGTATGTTCAGTATCCTGTGGCAAGAGGCTTTTCCAGCTTAGTGCAAGACCATCAAAGGAGGACATGGAAAATAGGAATGCGCTACACATGTTGATTATATTGTGCACTAGCATGATGTTATTTCCCTATCTTTTGATTGAGAGACTGCTTTATTTATTTCGATCTAACGATTGCTGTAATCAATAAGTCCTTGTTAATTGCAGTACGTGCTGATGGCGTATGCTGTCATTGGGATTCTGAACCGCCCAAGAGCGCTGTTTGTGGAGCAGCATCCTAACGAGACAAAACCACACAAAGCTTCTTACTGCCTGTGGAAAGTTGGAGCATACTTTTTGTCATGTTACTCAGAATTGGAAAAGTGTAAACCACCTATGCAGACAGACTATATTGAAAAGGGCACATGCATTTATTTTATACATTTTATATAAAAAAATCAATAGGCAAGGCAAATGTTTTAGCTTTATGGTAAATCACTGAGAAACCTTTTCTGGAAAAAAAAAAAAAAGAACCAGTGTTTTTGCTATTGATAATTCAGCCTGGAACTGGCATGGACTATGGAAGGGAATTGTTTATACTCAAAGCTCTAGTATAGATTCATATTTTAGAAAGACATAGGGACCTTACATCAAAGAAAGCAGATCCTTTTATGTCTTATTAAGATGTTTCTGTTAAACAGGTCATTAGCATTCTTATATGTTATTGCTAGTTCCAAAGGAAGGCAGCAGGCTCTGTCCTAAGAGACACCATCTTCACGAAAGAGAATAGTGAAGTTTATAGATACTTCTTTCCTTCACTTTCATGTGTTTTTTTTTTTTCCTTTTCTCTATCTGTCTTGCACAGGGTTTTAATGCAGCTGATCTGGTTAGCCATCCTGTAGAAAACAGTTGTCCAGTCCTCAAAGTTCTTAGCCAAGTGAACCTATTCCCTAGTAAGCCAATTAAAGCATCAGCCAGGTAGGAGCTGTAGGCCTGCAGAGTGTGACGCTTATCTTAGCCTCAGTACAGGTTGGTGCAGCGGAATTTAATACCACAGATGGCGTATTCATTAGCAATTCACAAAGAAATTGATTTTTTTCACTGAATGATGGACTTAATTCTCAGACAAGAATCCTTGGAAATGTTGACTCTAAATAAAATTACAGCATTGTAGCTTGAACAGGAAAGAAAAATGATGTGTTTTCCTTCAGCATCATTTTTATGTTAACTGTAGGAAGTATTTCAAGCTGTGTAGTGAAACACTTAGGTGCATACTTAAACTAAAGACATAAGCCCTAGGGCAGATTTTGAATTTAGTATAGTCACCAGGAACACCCAAGGAAATGTCTCTTTTATCTTACAATAATACAGTACGATTTCATAGTTCAAAATATTACGTAGTATAGTTCTTATACTACAGCACAGTGAGGAATCAAGCCAGCTTTTGCATTCCTATTAATTAAGCATTAATTAATCATTTTAATTCCTGCTAATGCATGAATATGTTTCTAAATGAGTTTTGGGAAGTCTCCATGATTTAAGCTGCAAAAATATGCCATAGACTTCCGGGAAAGAATGAAACATATCCTTTCTTCCAATATTTGTTGCTGTACACCATGAAGAAATACATTTGGAAATAATCTTTACAGTAATAAGCATTCTACAAACCTGCAGTGGTTTGAATTTTTGCTAGCTCCTATTGTTAGAAAAGGTTGAATCAAGTGCTTACCCACTTTCACTGTTTACACAGTGTAAATGAGGGCAGGGTCTGGTCTTCATTAGTAGCTGTCCGTCAAACCTGTTTCCTTTGTACACTCTTTGCATAATCACAGCCTGATGATTGACAACAGAGGCATGTTTCTAGCCAGATTTCCTACTCTGTGGCCTCTGTTTCCTCCCTGGTAAGCCTGAGGCAGGTTTACTGAGAGGTTCCCCCCCCACGCCCAGTTCTATCTTCAGCGTATCCAAAAAAAACCCCACCAGACTTGGGTACTAAAACCAGAATTTAGGTGGACTTTAGGCATTTGAAGACCAAAATTGTCATCCCAGAACTCTCCAGTTTAACTTAAACTGAGCAACCATGCTCCCTTTGACATGTGGAGGTGCCGAGCAGTTCCCCTCCACCCATTCAAAACTGCTCACCTCTGAGCAGTTACGCACCTACCTAGCTACCGGCTCAACTCCTTTGAAACTAGCTGATGTGAAGCCACTGGTGTAATATGGTTTTATGGTACAAGCTAAAGGGCTAGGCCACCCTCAAATTGTGTTTGCATATGTTTTGCTTTTAAAACAGAGCTATTTTATCTAATAGCCTGAAGGCTACTCTATTTGCGTGGGAACATGGAGATATGTGTTTTCTTTCTTGGCCTGCAAGGATTCAACCCACATCTCCCAGTGCCTGATTGCCAATGGATTGAAGTACCTCTTGGAGCTAATCCCTGATTTCTAAATAATTATGTGTTTTGTATTATACATTAATTGGCTAAAAATCTCAGAAATTATCCAGGTAGGTGAATTCAAACCCTCATCCTCACAGTGATCTGAGACTAGCTGGAGAGACATAGTCCTCTCTGCTGTCTTTCTTCTCCATGAATCTCACAGTCCCCTTCTCCCACTGATAGGACATGCGGGAGATAATTTTTCTGCTTCCTCCTCCCTAGAGTACTCCTGCTTTCAAGGTCATCTGCTAGAGGATCTAGGCTTGAATTCCCTTAAGCTGAGTAAGGACTGAACTCGGGCCTCCCACATCACATGTGTGTTCTCAAATCTAGATGACTATTTGGAAGAAGAGTGTGCGACCACCCCCTCTGGCTCTTTTTCAGGGATGAACCTCATGCACATCCTCCAAAAGCACACATAGGCTTCTGCACACTGAGTTCTGGGTAGATTCCAGCTCCTGGATGTGTAATTCAGGACACATTTAGTACATGTTGGTGCAATTGGGCAAGTTTTCTTCTGTGGAAAGCTTTTCCAGACCGGCTCTGTATTTTGGGTTGCCAGTCTGAGGTGAGGGACTCCATGCACTGTACTGGGAGGCCAAACAGGGAATTTGGATTCTTCTCAGGGGTGATGCCTTAGTAAAGAGGCATTGCAGTGCCTAACATGGAAACGCCTAAAGCTTTCATTGCATCTAAAAGTAAATCCCTGCTTCAATAAACAAGCCTTCTTTGCAAATGCTAGTAATGGATGGAACTGTACTATTTCTATTTATTAACCGGTTCCATAAAAAAAATCTTAATTGCAGCAAAAGCATGTGTACAAATTCTGTTTACACTTGGAAACTAAATCAAAGGAATAATTGGCAAAAGAATAACCCTATTTGATCAAAACAGGCACTGTTAAGCGACATGGGAAGGATGCTAATCATACCCTATTAATGAATGAAATTGTGCAGTAGCTGATGTAAATTCTGTCCACAAAAAAAATTTCTTTGTAAATAAGTACCTGGTAAAATTTAAAGTGATAAAAGAATAAATTATTCACATGAAAGCTGCAACTCTCCTGTGCTGTTTGACTGGCTCTCAGAGTGTTGTATCCTGATTTATCGCTATTCATGAGTGGCCTATTGCTTTTCCTGCTTTACGATATCCATTGACTGCTCTGTAGATGTGTTACCCTTCATTATCACACAGCTTAACAGTGGTACTGGGGTGATTTGCTTTGTGTCCGGACTGACATGTAGTGCATTCTACTTCAATGAACCCAGAAGATTTAGTCAGAATTGTATCTTTGGGCTTTTTTTTTCAGTGGCATTGCTCCTGGGAAACTTAAGAAAGCACAAGAAGGGGAAATGGTGGTACCGTTGAGCAACTGTAGTAACAAGCATTTAATGAATTTCTTCTTTTGTCTGCCGTTATTCTGCGCACCAGATTCGCACTGGATTTAACAGAACATCTCTGTGTAGCCATTACCAGTATGAGCCCAAGTACTATTGTAGCAAAGTATGTTTTTATTTAAGTATATTTACTGCCTCAACTCCTACTTTGAGATAATTTAGTGCAAGTTTGTAATAGTTCCACACATTTAGTAGATTACTGGAACTATTCTGACTTTATATTACTGCTACTAAAAGCAGAGATTGACACATAAGCTCAGTAAAACTGTGCACTCAGAATATATAATCACACACTTTTAATTTGTTTTGGCCTGCTGAATGCTGAGAGCTGCTGGAATGAACCCATCCGTGTTAGGAATCAGCAGGCTACTTTGGAGACTCTCTAACTTCCATAAATTACTCAACGGGAAGAAATGGGAGCGTAGGGCAGAGGGATAGGAGGGAAGAGAAGAACTAGGAGTCAAAAATACCTACTGTATATCCAGTTGAAACAAACAAATAGCAGGGAAGGGAAACCAGAGCTGGTACTTGAGACAGTGATGACTACAGAGCCATTTTTTTTCAACTGTTTCTTAAACAGCCCGAGTTTTTACCAGTTATGTTTTTAGTCTTATCCTTTTGCACCTGCAGTACATCTCAAACAACCACAGTGTTTAATAAGCTACTTTTTGCAGGAGTCTCGTGCTTTGCTTTTAAGTCTTAGTGCATAAACCTTGGACAAATTTGTGAAATCATGAAATAGCAATGTCGATGCTGCCACTTACAACAGATTAACGAATGCAAATGCTTTAGACACTGTTCACAATTCAGGTGAATTATATGTGTAACTGATGTATTAACA